GAGTGAGCCACAGGCGATCGATCTCCTCAGAGAAAGGGATCAGCTGTTTGGAACCACCAAAAAAAGCGGTCGGTTCTTCACACCCAGAAACAAAGGCGAAAAGTGATCAGGCAGGAGTCCTTTGGTAGTTCCAGCAATATCAGCAGTTGACCACAAAAACCTGGGAAGCCAAATCAGGGAACTCCGGCTCAAAAGGTGAGGGGTTCGGCCCAAAATGTCAGACCCCATGGAAAGTCGACTCGAGCCGGGGTCTTGGGCCGAGTCTCTGCGGCGCCCATGCCGTTGCCCTTGGCGTGGACCGTCATCGCACTGTGCCGCAAGGGCGCGAGCTCCTGGGAGTCGTCGTCCACGAAAAGCACCTTAAACAGGCGACTGGAGAACCAAGAAAACCCTTGTATTTTTGTTTACAAATTACAAATGTCTTGAGAGGTGGTGCCAAATGTGTGGGAAAACTGCGAAAAGCACCTTGGCCTCTGACTTGTCAAAGCAACCATCCACAAGAGTACGGGGGCTTAAGCCATGGTTTGAAAATGTTTAGACTCTCAGACAAGGGGTTGGCCCAACCCAACCCTGGTCATGGAAGTCAAAGCTGGCCGCTTGACTTAGGACATGTCATTGGCTGGACCCTTTGATGGACATAACTTACACCGGGATTTGTGGGCACGAACCGTCTGTTTTGAAGGCTATTCCGGTATTATCCATCAAATTTCCTCACCAACTAAACCAGGTGTTTCAACGCCAGGATTGCTGCTAGTTTCAAACGACAGGTGTTTAATCTTCGCATGTCTGAGTATATTAAGTCTATGTAAAACCCAAACACAAAGAACCAAACCCTGAGATACTGACGGACGAAATCAAGTTCGCACCGCCGTTCAGAAACCCGGGAATGATGATTCCCCTGCAAGTACCAACAAACAATGGTTTCAACCATGGTTGCTTAGGTGGTGCCAAATGGATTTCGTGCATCCACAGTATTCGGAATGGACTGTGGAACCTTGTGTGCGGTGGACACTGACTGTCATGGCCTCAAAACCTGTCAGCTTGGTGACGTCCGCAAAAGGGGCCGTTCAGCCAGGGGGTATTTGACTTCCCCTGCAAAAGATTCAACTTACTGTTTATTATGTTCTCTTGGAAGCCCGAAAAAGGAAATTCAGGACCCAATATTTGAAAGCGACCCCAAGTATTGCGCTTCGCGCCTGGTTTCGCGTCAACATCTCCTGGTGCTGATACCTGTGCACGATCTCAGTCTTCGAATCCCACTCGCCTTCTTTCCACTTCCCCAGCATGCTCCACCTCAGGTGCCCAACTTAGAAAGAAAAGGTTGAGCTTCTTGGCCACTAAAAATGGACCAAGCAGAAAATGCAAAAGGGTGAAAGGTTGATTCGCTTTGGGCGAGTGAGCCACAGGCGATCGATTTCTTCAGAAACACCAATGCCATTCATCTCAGTCTCAACGTCGTAGGCCGTCCGCGTTCCGTATGCCACTCCAATGTTCCCATAGAGAGCTTCGAAGGGTTCTAGCAGCCCGACCTCTTTCAAGCATTTTCTTGCCACACCCACGTAGCCGCGGGTGACCAGGATGATTCTGCAGCCACTCTGCGTCAGCCCGTCAAGCAACTTGCGGATGGCTGTTACTCGGCTGAAACCACCAAAGGCTTGTTCAATCCACGCCGGTCCGAGCTCGGACAGTCGCCTTAATTGACCCCGCTCAGACAAAGCGTGGGGCTCCGGCACGATCATGCCCCGCATGGGCAGCATGCAGACTTGTGCATCCACCCAGCCAGCCAGAGACTTGAATACATGGATCACCGTTAGCGTGAAGTCGAAATCGAAAAACACGATCCGAGAGGGCTGATCCTCTGCCTTGGCCAACGTTCTTGCCTAAACTTAGGATCCAAATCTGTTTGCTCGTTTTGAGTCAAAAAACAAAAGCTGAAGACTTAAAGATGGTCCCGTAGCTTGACCCAGCTGCATCGGGCTCGCCTTCGCGCCCGAAAAAGCTCCGAAGGGTGCACAGGCCAAAGGAGTTCATGGCCGAAGCTGATGGGCACCTATGAGATGCTCAAAGACATCTGCCATAGCCAAATTATGAAACTCTGATTGAGCTTCCTTTCGGAGTGATTTTTTGTGGGACATGAAGGAGAAGCCTCTCTGTGATGTGCCATTTGCTCCTGGATTTGCTCAGTGCCGCTGCGGGACAAACCTGGCCCTGCTACCATGGCACAAAGAGGCTGGAGAAGATACACTCATCGCTCGGGCGGTTTTTTCGCGGCTTCATCTCCAATTGAGAATGGAGACTGCACCCGGGTGAAGGGGTGGAATGCAGTTTTCTGATTCCAATGTACATTCTAGAGCAGCCTCACAACTGATTTCAAGCTATGAAGCTCACTATACAATGAGAATTCATTCTCAGTGTTTTGACATACGCTTGGGTGCGCTCGTGAGGGCCAAACGTTTGGCCCAAGCTGCCAAAGAAAACGCGGTTTATTCAAACATGTCAGTGTCCAGTGCCCCGAGCGTGCCCACTGCGCGCAAACATTGACTGCGCTTTGGAGCCGCCGACTGGAAAATTGAACTATGCTTCTAGATCAGGAGTACAACGTGATGGTGACACCAACGTTCTTTACAACCTGAGCATGGCCCAGCATGGCTTGTAGTTTTCCGCCCTGAGCCAAAGCTCGGGCTGCCCGAGCCCCCCGGCGCATGCCAGATGCCCCACGTTGAGCTTGACAGGCTTCTGCGCGGCCTCAACGAGCCGAAAGCAAAGTCTCCTTCTGGGAGACGACACCGGCTGAAAAAGAGAAGTGGCCCATGGAGATCCTGCCCCCATCTTAAACCGCCTAGAAATCAGGGCTTGGATGGCCTTAGCATTCCTCCATCGACATTCAGTCTGGCGCAAATTTGGAGTCACAAATTCCCTGCAGCGCGGGCCGCGCTCGATTGAAGCAAATCTCTCTGTACAGTCAACGCCAGCTGTGCAGTTGTCGCCAGCCAAAGCCCAAAACCTGCACGTGAAACAAACGGCATCTCCGCTGAATTCGCAAGGCATCTGGCACTGCACACCAATGAGTTGCCCCGTCAAGCACGCCTGATATTGCCTGGTGTCCCTATTTCTGCAGACATGTTGGATCGATCTTCCTTTCAACAGGGGGTACCGGACCCCCCCTTCATGACAAAACTATTGAAACTTGAAAAATACAAAGTGAGTTTCTTCATGGACCAGCATGCTGTACAACTTTTCTTTCCGAAAGAGATCCAGATCTCGGAATGCTGAAAAACCACAAGGCTCCAGCAGTTTTTTGCCAGTCTTCATGCATAGGGATGAGGGTTTTTGTTGAGGGTTTCGGTATTCCCGCCCCTCAACGAACAGATGTTGGACCTGTCCCACTGGACTGTGGCGCTTTCCGTGGCTCAAGCTCCCAGAGCCATAAGACTCGGGCGCCGGTAGTTTGTGACCCACGGCAGCTTGGGCCGCTTCTTCTTGGGCCGCCCGTTGGTTGGGAGCCTCACCGGCTCCTCGTTGGCCGCCGGAAGCAGCTCTTGCTTCAGGGCCTCGGATCTGAGAGCGCCCGAGCTCAGAAAGCCCGGCCGCAGCAATAAAAACACATCCGTTCTTCGGGTGATGGTTGCATCAACATTAGCAGCAGCCCCTTGGTTACAGTTTGGAGAAGTATGAGGCTGAGATGACGGTGTGGTTGACCGGACTGGACGAGTGATTGTTTTGTTTTGTGTTTTTGTTTCTGTGTTTTCCTTTTATTGTTTTTTAGTCTAGAGCAAAGTGCAACAGGCAGTCTCCCGAATGGGGAATAAACGACGGAACCTCTGCAATATCGACGCTTTCAGCATCGGCGACCGCTTTGAAAGGTTCCCCAAAAGCTGCCACTCCAACAAGCGGGGCAAGCGTCAATGCCACAAAGGTCGATCTACGCTTTCCCATTTGCAGAACGAGCCTCCACCCACACAACACGCGTTCTCTGACAAGGCTCCTTCTTGCTGATCCGATCTGTGTCCCCATTTACACTCACAACCAAACTGACCAAACTGAGCTTCAAGCACCATATTTGTTCGACCAGTCCGTTCAACATTTGCCTCCTTCACCCTCCTGCACCGCCGCAGCTCCCCGAGCGATTTCTCCCACTTCGTACAATTTCGCCCACCCTGAGCTCCGACAAAACAACCAACAACCAACATGCAACACCCCCACCAAAACTCCTCCGGACATCCAAACCGCTCAACAAAACCAGAAGGCCCGCTTCCGCCGGAACCCTTTCTTGGGGCTCAGTACCCCCGTGCTTGGTGGTTTTCAGGGAAACCCGAAAAACGTTGCGCCCATTTCCGGGTCACGCTGCTCGGCTTTGCCTTTTCGAGGCGCGGAGAGCAGGCGCCGGGCCGGCGCCACCAGCGCCTTGGCGGCCTCCTTCTTTGGCCCCAAGGCTCCAGTCCACAGCACCAGCTGCTCCGCGAAGTCCTCCAGGAAGACCTCCGGATCCGTCCGTCCGTGGATAGACTTGGGGAGACGGGGGATCAATCTTCACAGTGAAGGGAGGGTACCCTTCAAACGAATTGCCGTCCACCCCTCGCCTTGCCGTCCCGCCCGGCCACACGGAAAAGGACCTCGCAGTCGGAGGGCGCCACGTCCACAAGCTGCGCCAAGGAAGTGAAGGCCTAAGCCAAGCTTTCAGAATGGGCGGCGCGTCTCTTTCGTTTTTTGAGGTATCCTTTTGGGCTTGGTTTGAAGGGGAGCCAAGCGGAAAAGCACGCGATTTGGGAGGTCCCCTACAAAAGACACACGCAAATGGATGAGACTTTTTTGAGGGTGCTCTTCTGGGCAAACAGTTGCCTGCTGCACCTTTGTTAGAGCCCAAAGGAAACACAGGAGGTTTCCCTAGGCAAGCCTGGTCCTTTTGCTTTCCCCCAAGCCCACCAATCCACCAATCCACCAACCACCAACCGCCCGCCTCGAGGTCCAGGAATCCGTCGGCGGGTCTCGGCACCAGTTCCTGCAGCAGCTGCCCCAGCTGCTCCAAGTCCCCGCAAGCCTCCGCCACCTCCCGAGGCCCCCGGGGCCCTGGTCCCGGGAAGCGTGGGTCGCCAAAAGGGACACCAAACAAAATTTGTGGGGAGTCCCTTAAAATGGCTTCGCTGTACCAGTACCCCAATCGACGAACGGTTCGCTTTCACTGGAAAATATGACATATCAGGGTTCAGGAGCCATTGTTGACGCCGTCGACGGCACTGTTGCATCCGCCGTAACTAACCCTGCTCCCATCTCACGAAGAGTCGAGCGGCAAAGAAACAAAAAACTGACAGCTCCACCAAGATGGCTATGGCTCGTAGAAGCTGATACGGCTCTGGGTCAAGAAGAGGAACCAAAATGGAACCTTAAGCCAAAACACCATAACACCTGCGCTCTGATGGTGTAATTACGACCCATATACAGCTTCCTATCCCCAGTAAAGGGAGTAGAACCTGGGCTGCAGCCGTGCTCGGAGGAGGCTTCACCTGGACGTAGAGGTTGTCATGGACGCAAACATCCGCACCAGTGCGTGGGTGTTTTTCCCCATAGGGCTTCATCCATAGGCGCTTGCGCTTCGCGGATTCTGTCCATCTGTCTGGGTCCTTTGGTAAGGAAACCAAAAGGAAAGCTAACGTCAGTTTGCGGCTCATCCCAATTTTGCCACATGGGTCGTTGTTAAGGGTATCCTTTGTAGTTGGTGTTAAGGAAAGCGTTGCCATGTTGGGCGAGTAAACCCGTCAAAGCAAAGCCAGTCCAGAGGAAGGGTCATCCATGGGGCGGCAACTCCCCGCCAAAGCGAAGGCTTCAAACATGGCCGGGTTTCCTCTAGTTTCCTTCTTTAGCCCACCAATCAAAATGAGCCACAATCAAAACCCGGGTAGATGAAGATTAGCAAGGGGAAGTCCCAGCCAGAAATAGTTGCGGCCGCCTTCTTCATTCTTTACATGGTTCTGGGTAGACAATTCTAATACCGGGTTTTGATTGTGACTCAAATGGGGCTCGTCTATTTCGAGTCACGCCCAGGCTCCTGTCCCTGAAAAGCAACTCGCTCGCGGCTCGCGGCTCCGCGACTCGCGACTCGCGCCTCCGGCCACTCCGCCGCCACCCGGCGCCAGAAGTCCTCGAGCCGGGTCTTGGTGGCCGCTCCCTGCAGCACCTCGGAGACTCTGGCCATGGGTCAAAAGAATCGTACCCCCAGTGAACGTCCCAATCCCCACCTAAAATAGACGAAAATTTGAATTCACCTACCCCAAAATGGTACCATTGGTTTTGACCCATAATCTTACGATCGGTGCGATAGGCGGGCAAGGGGGCCCTGAGAAATGGAACGAGCCCAAGAAACCCATCCATGTGGTTCCTTCAAACCAACACACGGACTTGGTCATTCCCTACACGCCATGTCGTAGGGAAAAGGTGGGGACCCACAAATCAGACTGTGGATTGGTCCACAAAATCCGCGAGTCTCACACCACGAAATGAGTACCGCGGGGAATCGAATTATTCCAGGCGGTGCAAAATGGATTTCGTGCATCCACAGTACCCTTTCCGACGCAAATGTTATGGGAGAGCAAAAACGGGTGTTTCTTTTTGCAGCCCACTAACATGAACGGAACCAAACAACCAAAATACACTTTTAAAACAGCATGCAACAACAGTAAAGAATAAATGATCTGGCCTCAATCGGTGTATTGGGTCGCTCTACCTTTTGGTGGCTCAATTTGACCATGCATCCCTCATGTTTTTGGAGCCAGACTGCACGCTTTAGTGTACTTTTCCATGGGATACGTTTTGGGCCCCATGTTTCAGCCACACCCATTTTGCCAAAGTCAGGCCCTAAGTTTAACAACCCCAGTTTCTGACTTTGCTTGCCCCACAACCAGTCAAAATAGTGACCTGAGTTGACTGTGGCTGGGTGAAATCTATAAGCTACATTCAGAGATGTCATTTATTGGCAGGGACTTCTTTTGCTCTACAGACGACACAAACAGAGACAGAGACAGAGACAGAGACAGAGGGAGAAGGAGAAACGGAGACAAACGGAGAGATAGAGAGCCCCCAAACCACGAAATGCAGGGGAGACAACCAGGGGAGGGGGGGCATCTACGCTCCGCTCCTTGTGGGGCTCATCCTCGGGCTCCAGGAGCTCCGCATCGGCCTCCAGGCCAAAACTCTGCACGCAGGAGACCAGGTCCTCGTCCTCCAACTCCTAGCAGCAACCCAGACCCGCCGCTGGGGTCGTTTCTCCCAAAACGGGCGGCTCGTCTTTTCTCAGAAAACTCCCGCCCCCTTTTTTGGGGTGGACCCAAAAAGAAACTTGCGGGCCCAACTTTTCAAGATACACCCGAATAGAAGTCCCCTAAAAATCGCAACGGTTTCCTTTGTGTTCCTTTCACATGTGTGTGTGTGTTTTTTGGCTGAGGCGCGGTACATGCCCTTGTGGTTTCCTTTAAAGAAATCCCCAGGCTAAAAACAACATTGAACAATACCAACTGCTAGTTCACAAATCACTTTCTCAGCGGAAGGAACAGATCCAAATCCTTGCTTCTTGACGGTGGTTGCATCCTTGAACGAACCCTGTAAAGCGGGCCGACGACTTCCAAAATATCCAAGCATTGGTATTCAAGATATAACATGTCCAACCGCACAAAGAAAGCAACAACTGCTACGTCAATGAACAGTACACTAAAATTACACAAGCCTCGACCCCAAACAGTAAAAAAAAACATGACAGGTCTGTAAAACCAAAAAAGGCTTGTCTCCTTCATGTAAGGTGCGAAATTGAGTAGCTTATGTGAGCAACACATAGATGCAATCAGTCCATGTGTGTCCCTGTAGGAACTCCCCTTTTTTGGGAAGAGGACACGTCGGGTCCATCCATCTCCTTGACGCCGGGTAAAAGCATCGATGTTGCTCATCGACTTCGAGGGGCAAATGCCATGTCAATGCCATGTTCGAGAGTGAAGGCCCCGGGGATTCGGGGTGAATCAACCCAACACCTGGCATTAATCAATGGAAGTTTTGAAGGAACTTTCGTAGTACGGACACTCAATGCACTTTTCCATCACCGCAGCATTTGGTGGCCGTCTCGCTACTCTGCTGAAACTTGCGCACCAGTCTCAGCAGCTTGCGGCCGAGACTGGACACATGCCACTTCTGGTTTCTATCTTCTTCTCGAGCTCAGCTAAAGGTCTTGCCACAAGCAAAGCAAGGGAGCACTTGCATAAACTTGCAGACTGCGCCTTGTAGCGTTACGGCCGGGACATCCTCGCCTAGCAACGCAAACACACGCCGCGCCAAATTTGCAAGCGTCAGCAAAGGTGCCCGTTTGGCGCGCACCTCTGTCACCCGGCGCAGCTCCAGAAAATCCTCAGTGTTTGAGCCGGCAGTAGCTTGGTCATCCAAGGGCCTTCATCTCTGTCGTGCCCAGCGCGCCGCATGCTCCCAAGATGGCCAACGCATGGCTTTGCTCCATGCGCCCAACGCTGCTCCATTTTGGAACAAGCTTGGCTTTGAGCATCAGCTCCAGCCCTGCTCCATCTCGGAAACGTGTGAGAACTTTGCCCCAACTTACCAATGCTGGCTGTGGACACCACCAGCTTGGCCGGGTCATCTTGGAGTTGGCGCTTATGGTTCACAGATTGGTGTTCACATGTGTGGTGAACGACCGGCGGCCTTCATTGCAATGCACGCCGCTGGCAACAACTTCTGGGCCTGGCCGGGTGTGTGAACTGTTTCCAAGTTGTCAAGGTCAGCAAAGTAGGTTGCCAGGAAAAGGCTCCTACGCATCAACCAAGTTTTTCAAGGAGAACTCGACAAGCGCACGCACGACGCAAACAATCTCTTACGAGCTAACGGTTTGGCTGGGGACCCGACTCACCCAGGCTTTACTTTTAGGATAATTCTTTCTGGAAAACGCTCAGAAAAAACCTTGGAGCTCAGAGCTCGGCTGATGCGCCACAAGGATGCAAACTTGCGGCGCTGGCTTCCAAAAAGCAGCTCAGTATCAGCCGTATTCGTCTATCGAAACCAGTCTACATATTTAAGGCTCGACAGGGCTCTGCTGATGCGCCACAAGGATGCAAACCTGCACTTGGCCAAGAAGTGCGGCACTGGCTTCCAAAAAGCAACCAGCCAGATGTCACTATATAATTATTCTTTATCGAGAAACATAGACGTATTGAAGGCTCGACAGGGCCCTGCTGGTGTGCCACAAGGATGCAAACCTGCACTTGGCCAAGAAGTGCGACACTGGCTTCTAAAAAGCAGCTCAGTTTCCTGAGCAAAGCAATCAGCCGGATGTCACGACACGATTTGTTTGTTTATCGAGAAAAATAAACACATTTAAGGCTCGACATTGCTTGCTTCTAGCTCCAACGATGCTCCACAAGGATACAAACCTGCGCTTCACCAAGAGAGAGGCACATCCTTTGCACACGGGCTAACAGCAAAATCTGCGACATGCCCTTTCCCCGTTGCGAAGCATTGTTGCAAGTGGCGCTTGCTGACTTGTCGAATCTATGTTTCTAGCTTCATGCTTCTCAATTGCGCTTGCGAGCTGCTGCCACGTGAGCCGAAGGGAGCCGAAGGGAGCCGAAGGGAGCCGAACGCCGGTTACTGGATGCCAAGCAAGGTCAGCCTCAACACAAGAAGAAACAGGTTCAGCTGGTTTTGCCCGGGACCTTCAATTTTCCTGTCGACGGCTGTAAGCAGGAAAACAGCCAGCAAAGAAGAAGCAGCTTCAGCTGGTTTTGCCCGGGACCGTTGAGGGCTGTAAGCACTAAACAAAAGCTGGCAGCAAGCAAGGTCAGCCCCAAAACTCGCAAAGAAGAAGCAGCTTCAGTTGGCTTTGCCCGGGACAACACAGGGAGAGAAAGCGAGAGACACGACCCCGGGAGGCAAGCGCAGACACGACCCCGGAGCCGGCGTCATAGCATCTGACGGGGAGACACAGGCAGACAAGCGAGAGACTGGGAGACACAGGGAGACAAGCGGGAGACACCCAGAGCCGGCGTCACAGCAGCTGACTGGGAGACACAGGGAGACAAGAGCAAGCGAGAGACTGGGAGACACAGGGAGACAAGCGGGAGACACAACCCCGGAGCCGGCGTCACAGCATCTGACTGGGAGAAGACAAGCGAGCCCGGAGCCGGCGTCACAGCATCTGACTGGGAGACACAAAAAGACAAGCGAGAGACTGGGAGACACAGGGAGACAAGCGGGAGACACGACCCCGGAGCCGGCGTCACAGCATCTGGCATCTGACCGGAGAGACTGGGAGACAGGAAGACAAGCGGAAAAAATGATCCCGGAGCCGGCGTCACACTTTCCCATTCTCTATATACCTCAAGTTAGAACCCCAATGCTTCGCTGTTTGGGGAAAAATGAAGAAACAAATGTTACTACGAGTACTTCCGAGTCTTTGAGCTGAGAAGTCACCCCAAAAAGCTCCTTCAAGGCTTCAAAGATCAAGGTGAAAGAGCAAAAAGGATATTGGCATTGGGGCTTATCAAAGTCAGGAACTGGGAGGTGCTTCCACTTAACCTAGCGGGTGACGCTTTTGGTGGGGCCGGTACAAAAAAAAAGTCTAGGTTTGAGGTGCTCAGTGTCAAAAGATTCCCTCCTTCATGGCACTACTCGTACAGGGCTATAAGTTCTCCCACCCACCCACCTGCTCGTATCGGGGATGCCATGTATCTCCCAAGAGATGTGTGAGCTTATAAGGGTGCAACTGTGCATGCATATGTAGATTTGGGTGGCACACATGATTGCCCCCCGCACGATGCCCCCATTACCGACTTACTCGCGAAGCATCTGCAACCTCTTTCCACAACTAGCCCAAGATCCCCCGCCCGTTTCGCAGTACTCGGTCGCGACACGTTGCTTTGACACCTGTCTGGGATGTCCAAGGCATCGACATAGTGAAGCCTCGACTTGAAGTTTGCAAGATGTGGGAAAGGAAACCCTGATAACCAAGGGAAACCACCAATGGCAAGCCAGAGGGGATTTCCCTGATTACTTACAAAGAAGGTACGTAGGACAAGGACCCTCTCAGCCCCTCCCCCAAAACAAAACAAAAACAAGGAGGAAGGTCCCCCTCAAATCCCAGTTTTCGTTTTTTTGGTTGCATTTTGTTCAGTTGAATTTCCGGTTCCCCTCGTCTCTTTCTCCCTTTTTCTCGCTCCTCCAAGGCCTGCAGCGCGTGCTCCAGCGTCCGGAACCGCGCCACCAGGCGGATCCGCAGGTCCCGCCAGGCCAGGTCCTTCGGGCACCACAGCGCCTCCTGCAGCGCGCCGGCGCGGAAATGGCCGCCCTCGTCCAGCAAGTGGAAGAGATGCACCGCCTGACGAGGGGCGATAGGCGGGCCAAACGGATTCGACACATGCAAGTGGGAAAAACTGAAGCTTCCAACCACGTTCACAAAGCAATCTGCTTCCCCTCCCATCCTTGCAACATGGAAAAACTGACCATGTTGCAACATCCGCAGTTTTCAACACACCCCACCTGGAGCTGTCAAAACACCAAAACATAACAACAATAGACACACCCTCCATGGGTCACTTGACCCGGGTCACCCCCCGTGGGTTTTTGAGCCCCCCCACTGCGCTTCGCTTCGCCGCCTGGCAGGCGTCCAGCTCCAGGGCCTTGGCCGCCTTCATGAAGCGCTGCTTCGAGACCTCGCGGCCACTTCGAACCCGACGGACCGACTCCCGGGGGCCGGGAAACGGGGGGGGGGAAGCGGAGGGGGCGGTGTCGGTGTCCCCTTTTCCAAAGTTTGGGGAAACGCAGAGACAAAACCACAGCCCCAAAACACACAAACAAACAAACAAACACCCTTTTGGTACACAAAAGTGCCGAGCTGAGAAGAATATGCACGTCTGCTTGCGCATTCTCTACTTGCCCAAAAACACGGAAACACACAACAAAAATGTGACACACATGTGGGGCAAAACCACAAGCATGCGATAAAAAGCGGACCTATGGTTATTGCTTGAAGCCAGGGTGCATCGAAAGAAGCGTAACAAAGGGGCATCCTGGCTGCCGTCGCATTGATTTTTTTGTGATGTACCTGTTTCCCTTCCGCTGATGACGGTGAAATAAATTGAAGCTCACAAGTGGCAGTGGCTGTGGCGAACAGCCCTAGGGGTCCGAGGCGTGCTTGTTACAGGAATTCCAAGCAAATCCAACCATTCAGCAGGCTCGCAAGGGATGTGCGCATGGCGGCGCGGCCCTTGCAAGTCGTGAAGAAATGGGGAGACAGATACGGAAAGATTCAAAGTAAAACTTGAGTGGCTCAGAACCATTTTGGAGTCTTGACAGGTTCAACCCATCACGAATGAGTAGCCGCCAATCATGGAAGCAGACCAAAAAGGCTTGAATTGAAGGACTGTCCTTTTGAGGAACACTCTCCACTTTCAATGGAGAGAGAATAAGTACCTCATCCTCACGCTTGAAACACTCGAAGAGTCGCCGCCTTCACCTCCGTGCGAGTGTCGGAGTCCTCAGCAGAGCCCTCCTCCAGCAATTCCTTCGGCGTGAATTGCGGCGCGGCGGCCCTGTTGCAATTCGCATTCTGCGTTGAACCCACGAGGCACGCGACTTGAGTTGGTTGAACAGCCCCCATATACAGATTCTTTGAAACCACCAAGCGCAAACAAACTGTTTGCCCATCTGGGGTGTAAGAAGTGAAAGCTTGACACGGATGTCACCTTGCTGCTACTGCGTATGGTGTTGCTGGTAACTGTGAGTCGTCGCTTCATGTTTGTAGATAATGGCATCCACAAGCACGAGATGTTGAAGAAACACCTAAATAGCTGCAATTGAGCATCGCCCACAACCTGCTGTGCCCTTGTGTTAGCGAATGGTTTGTCTCAAAACTGGGGAACCCAAAAAACTTGCAAGAAAAATGGGTGTGAATTTCAATAGGGGCCCCATTGGATACCATTTTAGTCGGGACTTGTGTCCACCACTTTTGAATGGTGTCCAACTCTTAAAAATCGAGCACCGATACCTCCGAAGTGGTGCGAAGCTGGATTTCGTCCACCCTTTTAAGTGGCTTCCTTTGCAACAGGCGCACTGGCGCGGCTCCTCTTTAGAAACACTTAGGGATATCTTGTTTCCAAGGATATCCTTTTCTTATGTTTGCCAACCCGGCTCCTCTTTAGAAACCTGGTATTTTTTTTATCTCATTCTCATACAACGCCAAAAAACGAAAACGACACCCCGTCGTCGTTGAAACGCGAGCGCCGAGCCCGCCTGAAGCTCCAAGCTCAACGGCTGCAGCTGACGCCACAGCTGAGGCCAGGAGGGCCAGGCCTCTCTGCGTCTCAAAATGGGCAGCTCGGCGCCGCTGTGTTTTTTGGAAAAGTCGGACCCCAGCAAATGGCTGGCTGAGTTCGGTTTTTTTTTGGTGCCATTGGATCTGTGTTTGCCAAAAGGAGAATGGTGTACCCTTCGCCAGAAGAAAGGAACCAGACCCGGGCGCCATGAGAAGACCATTGAGTTTAGTTCTACCGTGGCAAAGGTTAGAGCAGAAGATTCGCCTATTGAAATGGCCTTTGGTGCCTCAAAACAGGCCAAGCTCCTTGCCTCGAGATAACCGGGCGGGGGGCCAAATGTGGGACAACCCTCACGTGGTCGCTGATCTCTTCTCCAACCGAAGCCAAGGGGTAAAACAGGGGGTATGTACCCTTCACATGGTGGCTGTGTAAATCTATATAGGGGTTGTTCTGCCTGCATCTATGATGGCCTGCCTGTTCAAAGCATCCCCTCCCCTTGTAAAGTACTTGGCAGGTAACTGGAGCCAGCCACTCCCTGAAGCATTTCGCGGTAAACACTGCTCAAGCTGAGAGTCTACCCCAACCAATGTAAAGAACTACAAAGGCGGCCGCACCATATTCTGGTGACTGTCCCCTACTAGCGTTCACCTACCCGAATGGGTTTTGAGTAAGCTCACATTTGCCGCGGGCAAAGGTGTGAAAGAACCAAACTCGCGCTTGGTTTTCATGGGTTCTTTCGCCACTGGATTCGCGACACCCCACCTCCCTCTCCCCGCCTCCACGTTCGAAAGCCCCAGATCGCCGCCGAGCGCTTCCTTAGCGCCCGTAGAAGCACAGCTCGTGGAGGGCTGGTCGTTTCCTGATCCCCTGCGGAAAGTTTGACGATTTTGTGGGCTAAACACAGAAACTCACTAAGAACAACTAGAAACCTAAGGAACCGGACAGCTGGGAACCGCCGTAAGTAGAGATGGCAGAAATCCCCGTGGGCAGCAAAGTGAATAGCTAAAAACAAAATGAGGGGTGGTGTGCTAACTCTCCGCCCAAGTGTGAGTAACAATCGCCTGCACAGAGCCCAATGGCCTGCAAATGTGTGCTAGCGGCACCCGTTGGGTATGCTAACTGATTGCTACTCGCCTTGGGGGCGAACAAGAAGAATCTGCCTGACCTAGTTGTGCTCGTGAACATGGGAGCCAAACTGAAGGCCGAATTCATGCACCCATGGGCGGTAAGTACGTGATTTGGGTGTCTTTAGTTAGGGTCCCCCCAAAAAGGGGGAGAGGTTCCCTTTAAGCATTTCCTGAAGGGTTGATGGCGGGTACGCTGGCATTTTGCAAACGAAGTTGCGACACTGATTCTCATACGAAAGCTGGTAGGAAGCGGGGGGGGAGGGAACCTGTGCGCTTGTTCGACCTCGATCCAAACCCATCTTTTTTGGGGAAAAGGGGTTTTAAATTCGATTCCAAAAAACAGGTTTGGGGTGGGTAAACTGATGTTTTGCCTCTGCGCCACACACACACACACACATCTCAGGTGACATTGCACGTGTCGCAAGCAGGTTTGTGCTCGAACATGTGGGTTTGTTGGGGTGTGTGCTGTGCAGAGTTCCTACCAGTTGGTTAAAAAGGAAAAACCAATCTTGCGCTCCCATGTTACGACACATACCCACGTGTGCAATCATAGCCCCAGACAAAATTACCTTGTTTGAGAGGGGAGATGGGAACTTGGGATCCTTTTTTGCTCACGTATTCGAAAACTTGACGAACCAACACGTCAGTTGCTCCTTCATAATATGTTCCACAGCGCAGAATGACGCTCCTCGCTCCATACCGATCCACGCAGCAGTTTTGCCCCGCTTCAGCTACGGATGTCATCCGCTTTGCTGCACTAAATGACTGTAAAATTGGGCGGCTCTCGGGTCCCGTTGCGACACAACAATGGTTGGCCTTAACATTGCCTTGCTAGCGCCCTATCGCCTCAACTCTGCAAGGCATGCGGAGGTCTGCGACATTCGCCCTTGGAAAAGCTGTTCTCAAGATTCCCATGCTTGCGATCGGTAGTACTACACAGGCGCAAGACTCGGAAAAGGAGATTATCTGAAGGCTCATTTGGCTGTGAGTCAAAATTAGGTACCCAAAATGGAACCCTGGCAAATGGAAACATGGACTAAAACCTGCGGTCCCCTTGTTATTTAATTTTGACCCATACCCATTTGGGTGGATGTCAAACTCTGCGTCAGGGCACCACTTCCCGCCCATCTCAATCCGCTTTGCCATAGCCAACTCCCGTGCCGAAGCCGCGCGGCGAAGAGCTTCGAAGCAAGCCGGCGGTTCCCGTGTTGCAAGAAGGAGGTGACGCACCTGAGCATCCAACTCCCACCCAAGCAATCCCAGCGGGTCAGTCTTTTTGTTGAGGGTACCCATGTTGGGTGGGCGCCTGAAGGAAACCAAAAGAGAACCACCGGTTCTGGGCTTGTGGCCTACTTTTGAGTCAAAATCCAAACCCGGTACTAAAATGGTCTACCCAGAACCATGTAAGGAATTAAGAAGGCGGCCGCAGCTATTTATGATTGGGATCCTCCTAAGCCTCATCTACCCGGGTTTTGATTGTGGCTCCTTTGGAACTTCCGACGGGGTGTGTTGGCGAGCGCCCCGAGACGTGCGAACACTGCGTCTGGGCCCAGCACCACTCGAACTCAGCTCGGCTCAAAGGCTCCAAGGGACCGACCTGCCATGCGCCAAATAGCTAAGTAGTCCCAATCACAAACCGTTTGATGTCCTCACAAGGTCAAAATTACGTGTTTCCCACCAAAAAGGCATGGGGAAAAGTGGCAAGTATGTCTGGTTTAGGTGGTCAAATCCCCATGCCCCTTTTAAATGAATCATAGGCGGCTGTTCTTAAACACAACCTCGCATATTCAAGGTACCAGAATGCTTCGCGCGTTTCGCGCCCAGAAAGCCCCATAGTGTTTCTTGCAAACCTTTGCAAGAAAGGTGTCCCACAAAATGCAAAGGTAGCAACTTGTGAAGATCACTGGATGACGGTATCTCACTGGAGGCTTCTTTGGGCCGTTTTGGACCTTGTTTTCTGGAGTCGGTGCCCTTGGTTGCTGTGCGAACGGGAAAAGAGCGAAATCACCAAATTCTGAGTTCTCCTAAAGCAAGACACGCAAAAAAGGCATCCCTAAAGAACTTTAAGCATGGGTGAACTCATTTTACCCGCGAATCGACAAGCTCGTTGCACTTTGTCCAATACAGTTCTATGCGCGCAACGCATGACACTCGTTGGCGTTCATCTTCGAGCGTCTAGCTGAAGGCGAAACACGATTTTGCATAAAAGGCAATAGTCAAGGCAAGATCCATATCACTGGCTGTGCTTGCGGCTACACAAACTTGAAGGGGTTATTGCTTTTCTTCTTGCTGCATGGTTGAAAAGAACAAAAACAATTGCCCAATCAAGGCAGTTCACCCCCCGCCTTTCCTTCAAGACTGGCTGCATTCTTCAATGCCCGAAACCTCGCCGGCGGCAGTGTGTCAAACGCAAACCGACTCAAACTCTCACAATTCCAATACTGCCACGAGATATCCAGTATAATGGCCGTGTGTACACTTCTTTGGGTGGCTTTGAAGGAAAACCCAAAGCACAACCAAAGCCATTTGGGGGGGTCCGATTCCTTGCTGACCTCGGGCCCATTTGGTTTCTGAGGCACAAGCGCCCGATTCAGGTTGCCAAAGTGTCGGATCAGCACATGGATGAACTCCAGCACCTGCCATGAAACCTTCTCAAAATGGGACCAATTCCTCCAGAATTCCTTTTGCTTCGCCTAACCCATATGCCAAGAAACTCCCTCCCAGTGTTTTCCGCGGCTACCTCGGTTCTGAACGCGGCAAGACAAGACAAAGAAAAACGTCTCAGAAAACCGCCGTCTTTCCGCGCCCAAGCGGCCTCCTTGCACGGCGCGTTCCGCGGCGCCGGGCTCACCGGCGAAAGCCTGGCGACGGCGACCGTGTCGTCCACGGCTGAGGCGAGACCCGAGGCAGGCGCTGGCTGCACGGAGACAACTCCTCGTGGCGAGTCTAACGCATGGAATGTCGAGGGTCCATTTCAAAGGACCCAGGCTATGTTGGTGGAGGGTACCTTCTTGTTTGTGTTGGGAAACCAACAGGAAAGGCGCAAAATCTTGACAGGCCTAAAAAAGACACACCTTTGTACATATCGCTCACGGCCGGTGAGTCGTAAGCTAGCACAAGAGAAAATACAATCACTGGCTTCATGTTGAGTCATGAGGATTCATCAATCCACATCTTCACAGGTATCACTGTTATTCTCAAGACAGTGGAGACCTCACTTCCTGAGTGGATTGACCAATTGAGAAGTCCAGGAACTCGGGAAGTGAGATACTGATTCCAACATTTGACACACGAATTTCGGCTGTCTGATTTCTCAACGCGCGAGAAACGCAAACAAGTCCTTGCTGGCAAGCCTCGGGAGGTGTCCATGCGCGGGGAGTCAAAACCCCAACCCGCCCCGTTACTGTAACCCCGCGTGTCCTTCAAAAAGGCACACCATAAGTATTTTTTGGGGGAACAGGGGGAGGGCGGGTTGGGGGCCGGGGCTTGAATCCTGCAATCTGAGCCAAAGACTTTGAGCTGGGACCAGCCGGAAGCAGTGAGTTGAGTACCTGAGCGCAACCAGAATAACTAGCTCTCCCAGATCAAGTGGGTCTGTCATTTTTGAGGATGCCTTTTTGGATGGGTGGCTTTAACGGAAAACCAAGAGGAAAACCGAAGCCGTTTTGGGGGGTTCCAAATAGATGCCGCCCCATGGTTCGCAGGACAATATGCCATGAGTCTTGGCAACAGTGGCCGCGGAAACCCGGGACTCTCTTCAGATTCGGCTTCACATGAATGCTCATGACCTCCTAGCGAAGCTGAGTGACCGGACATTGGAGAGCATGTCATCTCTGTCCCTCGACCTGCGACGTATCGGGACCCTTTCCTTTGCGATGACCCGGATCTAAAGAATTGCTTGCAATAGTTTGATGTGTTGTTTCTGAGGGCACCCTTTTTGGGGTGGTTTCAAAGGGCAACCAAGAGGCAAGCCATTGAACCATTTAAGGGGTAGCCCTAAAAACTGAATGCCACGATCAAAACTGCATACACTTGTCGTACTCTCTACGGCAGACTATATGGACTATGGACATTCCTACAAGAGAGAGAGAGAGAGAGAGAGAGAGAGAGAGAGAGAGAGAGAGAGAGTCCCCATGTTTGTTCCAAACTCACCATAGATACTGGAAATGTTGGCCAAACCTCATATGGGTCTGTCCTTTTTGGGACCCCCCCCTCCCCCAGAATTGGTGTTTTTCTTTTGGCTTCCCTTTCAACCCCAAAAATGAGGGGGGGGGGTCCCAAAAGAAAGACGAGCCAGCCACACGCTTCATGATGCGATGTGTGAACCTTTTCCTGGGGCTCAGACAGATCTGGCAGACACGGAGCTTGTGCCTTGCCGGATGTCAAACCCAGTCCCGCCCGTGGCGACTTCGGATTCATCTCGAGGAACGTACTGAGGGGTTTCTGCGATCTATTTTGGTGGGTCCCAGGCTCTAGCAGGGACCTCTGGAAAAATCCGAAGCTAACATTACCCAACAGTTTTGGGCAAGATGGCACGTCAAGAAACGCTGCAAGTTGCAAGATTCGGCATCCGGCTTGGCCATTCACAGTGACATAGGTTTATATAAATATAGTATTATATATATATATATGGTCCAGTTTTCAAATTACCGTGGTTCCCTTCACAGTCAATGTTACTTCTCCTCTGCTGGTAAGCCTCACCACATGTCACAGGCACATGAAATGAGAGCCCTTCCCCCTGCATGACAAAGCAGCCAAGTTGATGGATTTCCACCAACAGAACATGTCCAACCTGACTTGATCGAATCACTTGAACGCCCTCCCCGAAATCTATGACTCTTCCTTCAGAAACATATTTACGGACTTCCAAACAGCAAACTCAAATCAAACAAGGGAACTCGATGTGTATAACGCCAGCGTCATGTCGCTTGGCATGCGCCTGGATTCCCATGTCTCCCTATGCTCTGCTTGCATTTCGCTGCTGCCTAAATCTCCGCAAGCGACACCACGGGACTGAGTGGTTGACAGGAGAGATCGGTCTCAAGGTGGCCTGCAGACGCGAGGGAAGATCGCAATCGCATCACAAGAACTGCGCCCGTTCGTTCACACATTTGTGTCGGCTGCTTCCCTTGCCGTGTTTTCGGGCAGGAAACCCAAATGTCTCCAAGGGCTTTACGTGGAACCCAAGGACTACTTGGAGCAGAAGGTGGCAAAAGTGTGGAGGAAAAGGAACCTTTCATAAGGCCACCCTTGCCAACCGGCAGTGAAAACGGTTCCGGGCCTAAGCAGGGCGCCCACGTGGCTGCGCCAATTGCAAACGCAAGCAGCAGTCCATGCGGTTTAACGATCCCGGTTCATCCAATGCCTCCTTAGCAACATGGCAACCATTTTCCAAAAGCAAGGGAACCTTCCTTTGGCGGCCGCATCTATTTCTGGCTGGGACTGCCCTTACTAACCTTCAACTACCCGGGTTTGATTGTGGCTCTACTTTTGTTTACTGTAGACTCACTGTCCACTTCAGACTTCTGCTGCTCGCGTTAAAAGGCGCCTTCGGCAGAGCGCTGCCACCGCCCGGCGGCACCTTGGAAAGAGAGCAGTCCAACGGTTCCTCCCCTTTTTCCCACAAGCAAAATTGCCAAGCACAACAAATCTATGAGCATGAAATTACTCTGGACAACATTGACGCAGAGATCGTCAATCTCAGCCAGATTCCTACAGTAAGTGAGGCCCATTCCTTTCACCCGTGTAAGCAACCCAATTGTCTAACGAAAAGAAGGAGCCCTGGAAGGAATGGGATTAACAACAAACGTGGAGGTCTACAAGAGTCCCTATTCCAAGAATCACATTCTTACACGGAAGAAGGTCCATGGTGTTAGAATTGGAAAGCAGAGTTTTACTACATATCATGGCAATGAGACGACAAGCGCTTGTGGATGCGGCTCAGATGCGGCTGAGATGCGGCTCAATGCATATCAATGAAGCCACAAATCATTGGACCGAGCAATCGTTCCGTCCCAGCATGCGGCCAGTCAAAAGATCATGGCAGTCCCTTGGACCTGGCCTCCTCAAATGTTTAAATGGCTTCTCCCTCCCAAACCCGTCAGCACAGCAAAAGTCGGCTGGCTGCCATCCAGCTTTCGACAATTTGTTTGGAAGTCTAAATTCGGAGCTACTTTCACCGCCTGAATTAGCAAATGAAAGTCAAACTATATACCTGTCGCCACGATTTTCTGCTTCGCGTTGGCTTGATAGCGAGTGAAACAGGTGCAACTGGCATGGGGGGCCATGGCGTGCGAGAAACGCACAATCGACATGGGTGCAAAGTGTGGAGGCACGCGATCTTCGCCGCAAACAAAAAGCAAAAGATCAGCTGTGTTTCTTGCTGTGAAGCAGAAGAAATCCTGCACCGCCTGTTCCATACAGATCTACACTCGTTTGAGTACATCCAGCAGTGCTGGTTTTCCTCCTTCGACCATCAACCTATCTCATTTCATCTCGCCTGGCACAAACTGTGCCTCTACTTCGACATGCTCTCGTGTGACACGCTCAGCTGCACTAACACAAGTACCTGTGCACGGGTGCATTCTGCAGCCCTGCAATGTCCGGTGCCAAGCTTACGTGCTCGCGCTGAAGGCCCAAATACAGCTGGAAAAGGTTTGGAAGCGCTTAAAAGCACGCTGCTGGCACCGGAGGGGTTAACAAACCGGATCACCACACAAACAGTTCGAGTGGGTGAGGTGGTGCAAGGGAAGGGTGACTTTCTCTGAAAAGCCCTTCTGGAACTCGTGGCCGGGCTCAGCTCCGCATCATCTGCATAAACTCCTGGAAGTCAATCTCTCCATCACCATTGGTATCTACCTGTTTCAGCAGGTCCTCGGCTGTCACCCCACTCCACTCTCTTCGACTCTTGAACAAAGATCTCAGGGATGCATATGCTTAGCATGTCGACATGCTAAACCAGACGCACTTCAAGTCAGCCAAGTTGCTGCCAAATCCTGGCACATCTTTTTGAGCAGGGTCAAAACTTTGTCATGGTTTTAAGGATTCTCGAAAGCCCGAACTCTATCTTTGCTTCGTAGTCTGCTTTGGGTTCCCACCAAACCCCGGTTGCCTTTTCCTTTAGCAACAAAGCCCATTTGAGTCCTATGGTCTACCCAGAAGCGGATATCCGCACCAATTTATAGTTGGGATTCTCCCTAACCTTCATCTGCCCGGGCTTTGTTTGTGGCCCACCATTTGCAGGTTCCAGCATTTGGATGGGACTGATGGTCTTCAACCAGCACCAGTCATTTGGCTGTGGCTCAAAAAACCGGCACCAACATTGACCCTGGCAGGTGGAAACATGGACCAAAACCTCCGCAACCCCTCCAGTTCAATTTTGAGCCGCACCAAGTTGCACGGTTTCGGGCCTTGTGAAACTTGCCCTGGACATCGTCGCTGGCCAGGACTTCCGCCAGCCTGCAGTTCGGGACTTGAGCTCCCTCGAAACTGGGGTCCCTACTCGACCAAATGGTCCAGTAGCTGGGTTCCCCATGGCCGGAAGCCCAAAACCGGTGTGGCACCTTTGATGGTCAAGTGTCAAATGAATTCCGCACCGTTGGCTCACTATCCCTCTTCGAAATGATTCCAAAATCGGAAGGGTTCGTGGAGCACCCAGCGGCTGCACTCTTTGGGTGAGAAAGAATCCACTCGGCGAAGCTCGATCGTCGCGTGCCGCTGAGCCAAGGACTCCTTCTGACTGATGGTGCCATTGCCATCGCGGTCAAAGACTCGGAAGGCTTGCCAGCAAGCATCTTCCTGGATCCATGAAAGCCAATGCCACAAGTGAAGATAGTATGCATCCTGACAACACCGCTCCCCTCTTTGTATCTAGAGGAGCTGGCATTCACACACACACATAGAGTCTGCGCGCCTCCTGGTAGTGCTTTCTGTCCAGAGTAGCTGCCTCGCCAGCACAACTTTCCCATTCCAGCCCATGACTGGCAAACTCGTGCTGCCGAAGGCCGAGATTATTCCGAGGTGCGAGAAACTCGGTGTAATCGATGACACCGCTTCCGTCCGCATCAATGCTCTTCATGATCTCCTGGACTTAACTCAGGGCGCACTCGAAGCACTAAGGTGTTGCCTTTTCTGACATGATCCGCCTCCCTTAAGGCTTAACGGCTTCTACACTACACATATTTATTCCGCCACAAACGGCAAACCAACCGCAGGCATGCCACTACCACTCGCAGCAACTGGGAGCCCTCCTGGAGGTCGGCCGGGATGTCTTTCAGGCCTCCCTTCTCCAATCCTGCCACTTTGTTTCTGTGCGTCAAATGGGCGTGGCTCCCTTTTTTTCAGGGTACCCACGTTTTGGTTTTAAATTGACACCGAAAGGAAAAAAGAAGCCATTTTGAGGGGTCCCCTGAAAGACTGCAAAGCCTAATGAGGTGTCCTGCCCCTTTTAGGGGATACACACACACACACGCACACTGGACGTGGGTTAAAGAAAAGAAGATGATAAGGTACAGCAAGCAGTCGCCCTGTTGGCGTTCGTAAGTAAGTCTGTAAGCGCCCCTGCCTGCTTCAAATCCAATGATTCCGTGAATGAATGCATTCTTGCCGCGGCTTGTTTCGTACAAACACCACAAGCCCACAGATCTGCAAAGCTCCGTCCCGAAATGAAAATGGACAGTTTCTGTCTTGTTGGTTAGATTGCAGCTTCTTAGACCCCACGAAAATGCACAGCATCACATTGATGGCAAATGACAGAAGTCGATCTTGAAAATCAACGTGAGAGGCACAAGCAATGCGACAGTGTAGGCAACGTCATTGCGACGCGAGCAAGTTGTGAGCAGCGCTCTTATGCAGGTCTAGAAACTGAGTGCCAGAACAACGGCGAGAGAGAGAGGCATTGTGCTGGAACAGGTGACCATAGCATCTCAAAACCTCGGTCAAGGCCACGAAATGAAAGACAAGTCGAAGACGAACAGGGCGAATCGATTTCGGAAACGCGATGAAGTGGCAGCACTAATCACTGGACAGGCTGAAGAAGGCGGCAAAGCGGTTTGGGGATATGCGCGATGCTGTGCATTCCTAGATTTGTGGAAAGGCGCATTCCGATTGGTCCTCAGACAAGCCTTTTTTGGTTGAGAAATGTTTGCGTGACGCTTTTGCAGGGACCCCCCAAAATGTGGGTTTGCACTTGATTTCTCTTTTTGAAACCTCCAAAAAAGCGGGTACCCTCAAAAAGACCCAGCACCGCGAATTGGACCTGCTCTCAGCTCTGCTGCTGTCAGCAGGCCGTCTCCATTCCTGAGCAAGTCGCAGCTCGACTCTGCATTCATCCGGTGTTTGCTTCGCAAAATGGTGGGCCTTTCTTGGAGACCAAAATGGTGGGCCCTTTTGGTAGTCAAAGGCAGACCAAGATGAAACCACCTTTTCTTTCTTGATTTTTTTTGCGGGGGAGGAATGAAACCACCCTTTTTTGGGAGGCGGGTGTTTTTTCACGGCGCGCACCTCACTGTCCAAGTGGCTCGTCCAGTGCCTGGAAGGTCTCTCGCAAAGCCCTGGGCAGCAGCTTCTGTTGCGGTCCGTTTGCAGCACACATCGACGTGTGGGTCTCTCTGTTTGGGCTTTGAACCATTTGTTTGAGTCTGGTGCTGACGATTTTGTGGGAAACCAAAAGGAAAGAATGTCAAAGCCATTTCGGGGGTCCTTGGGTCCAAGCACATCGGAAATTGAGTTGAAGATTGGTGGTCTCCGCGGAAAACCTGACATGTGATCCACAAAGAAGCGACTGTGCAAAGAAATGAGTAGACTCTAACATCATTCATGGGTCTTGCCAAATCCAATCTCTTATCAGCCCCTTGTGCCACATTCTAAACCGCAGCTATGTCGCAATGGACGATCCCATGTCGCAAAGTTCAAAAAGCCCAACGCAATTTCTGATTCAATCGCCCAACGCTACCCTCACAAACTTCTTATGGCTTCATTCCAACGGCTCCATTTCGGTGCGAGACTCGGTCGCTTTTCCATCTGGCCAAGTCGCTGGATCTGCTTATCATCGAGGCTACTGGCAATGACTTGCAGCGCTGCTTTCCTTGGGCCCAATGCCCATGGCAAGAAGGTACCAAAAATGGAACCCTGGTAAATGGAAACATGGACTAACATCTGCGGTCCCCTGGTGGTTTAATTTTGATCCATGGCCGCACTTTGATCATGTCAGATGTGAGATCCTGCAGTCAGCCCTCCTTTGAAGAAGACAACCTCTTGTAGCCGATACTGGTGTTCTTGTCAGAACTTCTCGCAGCTTTGCATTGAAAAGAACTATGTGCGCCGAGAGGCTTCAGCTTGTTTTGCGACAAGAACCCTCGCAACTTGTCCACGAAACCATCCTGTCATCGACTGTAGCTCAAAGCTCAATGCCGACGACCAAATTGTCCAATTTTTGACACACACACACACACACCCATTTACCAGGAGCCTCGCTTGGAATGCCAACGAAAGGGGCTGCCCTTCAAGTCCTGTCAGGTTATCTCCAGGCGCCAGAATGTGGGTTACGCTGGGGTGAAAGAATACACCAGTATCTTCGTTTGT